TAACAATATATGAAAAAGAAGTAGCGTTATTTCGTAATATTTTTATTATATTAATTTTTGTTTAATATGTTATATTTAAGAATGTATATACATATTTTAAAAAATATTTAATTAAAATTTGTCTTATTTGAAAATTCAGCTGCATTAATAAGGTGGTTTATTATACTCTTTTCAAAATTAATAGAACATTTTTGTATATGTGAGAAATTTGTTTTAATACGAATAAAAATCGAACAAGACAACGTAATTTCGTCATATCTATGTTAATTGCGGATCATTCGACTGCATTTAACGGCCTGAAATTCTGCGCGGAATTTGATCGCGCTTAATGTTAATTACGCCGATGAAATATTTGATCGATTTTTCAGGATAATCCTGTAGCGCGTGCCATCATTTAATGCGATAATTCGATCGAAATACGCGTTGTTCTCTCACCTGGTCTTGTGAACCATTAATAAAGCAAACGTGTTTGGAAATATTTACGAGTGTACTGTGTCCCTCGTTACTGGCTACATTTTCAATGCAAACGATATTTATTGCGATACCAATCACGCTTCTCGATGTTCATTACCGATTGGTCGCGGAATGAATACGAGACGATATTGAAGGCGCGATATTAATGGCGCGTACGCGGATACGGTTATTCGCGAGATTAAACGCATCCGGTATATAGATGCAGCAGCTACTCTCGAAGTAAATCGTTTCATGAAGATAACTTGTCGATGAATCGATAAATGACTTGCTAACTGGGATGAAACGCGATAACTTGCATCAAGGCTTAATTGCGATATCGAGAAATCGAAGGATGAGAGAGAAAATTTGTAACGACAATTATAGTATCATTACGATAAAAACGACTTTCACTTGAGATTGTATAAAATATGCTTCTTTCCCTCTACCTTTCTCTCTTCATTCTTTTATTTTTTATTTCTTTATTTTATTTTTTTAAAAGGATAGTTTAAATCTGCAAACAGACACGGAATGTCTCCCAGAGGCATATTTAACAGTTTTAGACAGGCTCTCAAATATTATTTCTAAATGTAAATAATATTTTTTTATTTTAATTTTTTAAATTATATTTTGGCAGATGTTTTATTATGTACTTTTAGCAAATTTTTTTCTAGAATACGATAAAAATTTTGTCTGTCTACAATGTTGACGCCGATGGATACCATCGACGTTGATTCGACTGCGCGTTCATTTAAGGTTTATATCAATGTCTAAACGAACTTAAATTAAGACGGGTAGTGTGTGAGAAAATTCACTTGGCGCTCTAGCAGAATACGCTCGTTTCGAACTGAACGAACATTGGCCCATTTTATCTTAGGCGAGCTGTAACTATCAATTTACTTATTTGTCTGAACGCCTATTCATCCATTAATCTCCGTCGGCTGTCTAACGGGCGTTAAATTGCCTGTGTATTGCGCGCGCTTGATTCCTTTTTCTTCATTTATAGGTCAGATACGGGACGATTTAAAGAGCAAAAGTTTTACTTTTCGTTTTCAATATTTTATTCGTTGGGCATGATATAACTTTTTTTAACCAATGAGCTACATCTATCATAAAGTGTACTCAATTACTGGTATATAATTTTTATAGCCGTTGGTTACTTTACTATAAAAGAAGAGGATTATTAAGAAAATTTTAATTCTACATAAAGCACTTACTGGAAAAAGGTTTCTTTTCACTTTCGCATTATATTTATTTATTTATTTAAATTTTTATTTTAAATATTATAAATTTTATTATTTTTTCGAAAATTTTGCATCACATATTTTTGCTTTTTGAGATTTTCAATTATTTCTGTTCTACTCGGGCCATGTTTCTTCCTGACTCTATCACGAGCTTCTATTATTTTTGCATATTACAAAGACATGTTACGCCATACTATGAAAAGACAGCGCAGCATGTGTGTCGCTCGTTGAGGAAGAAGAGACTCGCTCGAGAACGATGCGGAAGGGGGACGCGATCGATAGCGAATTTATATCGGAAAATGATATCCTTCTCCGCTATGGAATCGTGCAACCATCCTGTACATCGCGTTTGCGTGTCGCAAACTCCGCAATGTATCTATTATTCCGTATACTTGAACCGATCGCGTGTATGAAAGTCACTCCGATAATTTCGCCGTTTCAAGCGAAAGATTTCTTTCGTGCACGCAAATAGAAAGTTTTTATATTAAATTTTTGAACGTTGCGAAGAATCGTAATTTCAAGCTCGAAATCGAGAGCGATGCGAGATAAATTTTCGAAACGTATTTCTACATATGTAGAAATTTAAACAGTGTCTATTCCATGTAAAAAATGGAAAACCTAGAATTCTCAGGGATTTCTTTTGTACTTGAAAAATTTAGGGAATTCTCGTGGAATTTTATTGAAACTCTCAGGGAATTCTTTTAACAAATTCTCTCTCTGATAATTTTGTTCTTATATTGTAAGTAATCTGCAATCCACCGATAAGCCAGTTTATGAATTATGTGTTTAAAATATATTGTAAATATATCTATTCCTCTGTTTATATTGTATTATTCAATGTTTTTGTAAAATATTGAATATGCAGTACATATTCTTTTTATTGTATTTTTTTTTGTAATGAAAAAAATGTGAAAATGTTGTGCAAGTGAAAAATGTTTACATTACGAAAGCTATTTAGTTCATTTTTAGTACATTTGCAAAGCTAGCATTTGAAATTTAAGTGATTCTGTGTTCTATGTTCTCCTTCGTACGAGTAAAGAGCATTAGAAAAAACGTATATAATAAAAAATTTATTTTAAAAAGTTGCACCAATCATAAAATCTTTAAAATATTCTTTATACCTGGAATTTTAAACAAAAAGACCTGAAAGATCTGAAAATTTTCAAGAAATTTTTTTTACATGATTCGAGTAGAGAAAGGAAAGGAGAGGGAGATATCCTATTAAAAAGTTCAATTTTAGAGTGTATTAAAAACATGCGCACACATATACCAAGAAAGGATTTAATTTTCTTTAAACTCTCCTATATATATATATATATATCTCCAAAAATTTAATTTTTTTTTTCAAAATTTCTGGATGCGCAGGTTAATTGAATCAGACTGCATATTTGCAGCCATTCGATGGGAGTTGTTGCGCGTATTCTCGTCAGTGGAGAGGACTATACAGGAAGTTGCATGAACGCTACCCGAATCGCGCGAGATCGCATTGGAAACGCGTCGATTCGCTTATCGGGAAATACGTCCAAGTGTATCGATCAATGTCGAATCGATTTGTCTAATTAAACGATACGTTGATCGTTTTAGTAAAATAGGCAACGAGACGAGCGATGATGCGCCACGGCGACACGTAATCATCATCGTTGGTATTGCCGGATCCCGTTTCCGATATTATCGTTGGACGGCCATTAATAATGTAAATCGTGGTGGCCGGCTTTCTGTCGACGTAAATCGCGCGTATTGAAGCGATTTGAATCGCTTCATCAAAAGTTGGATGAGAGTTAATGCGCGGTCGTTTCATTTGATATTGACGTGCGCGATGCTTTTCGTTTGTATAATAAATCGATCGGAATTAAACGAATAGCAAAGTTATATGATTAAAATGAATTGAAAAACTCATATTTTTTAATAAAATGTATAATAAAATAAATCTAACATTTTTAATAAAATTTATAATTAAAGTGAAACCAAAGCGAAACTTTGGTCTAAATAAAAATATATGTAGAAGTAATATATTTATTAAAAATAACTTAATAAAATAAGAATATTGCAGAATTGTAATTGAATTGATAGATTAGAAAAATTGAAATCTAAATAGATGAGCATATTTAATAATATTATTAAGCGTATTGAAGTAAGTTCTCTTGTAAAATTATTATGTATGATTAATTCATTGGTTATTTCAAAAGTCAAAATCTTGACACAGAAGCCAGCAGTCTCAGGGACTCGCGAACACGCAAATGTTATTTGGGCGCGTTATCTGGAGCGCTTCCCGAAAAAAAAGAGGTGATCCCCGTCTCTCGAGCTGCAAAACTTTTCGTATCTTCCGTACCTTGCCGAACTCGACGAAATACTCGCGTCTCCCGCGAGAAAGTTACGACTATTTTATTTCCGACCTCTCGTGTAAATAGTAAACTCGCCGAGAACGACACAGCGGTTTCTTGTGCGCGAAGCGCCACGTAATTGCGAAGTTTCGCGGAAGGGCGACTTAAATCGGGAAAATTGCGGCGATGAATAAGCGAGGATGAAAGATTTTGCTTTTCAACGAGATTTAATTATATATCTTTGCAAAGTTTATGTTCGTAATATGATTTATTTACTGTAGGCTACTTTAGAAACATGAAAGATTTCGTTATTTAAAGCTAACCGAGCGAGACTAAAGCGAACTACTGTTTTCTCCCCGCATCGAAATTACATTCGAAATTGAAATTAGCCCCGATGTAAAGGGCTCACATTTTCTTTAATGAACAATAATATAAATTAAAAATAAATTTTTTATATTTGAAGGAAAAATAAACAAAATTTCCATGAAAAAAATATATCAAATTAATAAAAATACGGCGGAAATCATAACTTCATTTTTATATTAATTATCATGTACAGATTAAAATATACACAGTATAAATATTATGTTATTGCATATTAATTAAAACACCTAAGTTGCTACACCATTTTGTAATATAAATTCAAATTTATTAATGTGAAATGGGACACTATTATACGATCAAATTTACTGTTTTATCATCTAACATCTTTAATGTTGACAATCTTAAAATATCGCGAGCATGACGCATTTCCTTCGTCTTTACGTAGCGTTCGCATGTAGGTAATTGATAAAATAAGGCAAACACTTGAGAGCCGAAGCGGGTGCAATCGATCAGCAGGGTTTGCTCAGCGTTTATCGAAAATCGTCTTGGTGAACGCTGAGTAAATGTTCCCTGTTTATGTTGCCATACGTCCCCCTTGCCGCCGATTAATCGATTAATCGATATTTTTCACAAGAGGACATTTTTTTCGTTTCTATTGCAGTCTGAGATCCGAGCAACCTAGCGGTCTAGACACAGGCGGGGTCCGACTGGAATTGAGCAAGGCCCTCGACCTCTGGGCCAGAAATTCGAAGCTCACCTTTCAGGAGATCAACAGCGACCACGCTGATATTCTGGTCTATTTCCATCGGTGAGTTTAATATATAAATTGAAATTTATAATTAATTTAATTATATATTTTTATTTGATTTATGTAATGAGAAATTATTTTATATATTAAAAATGTTTACATTAGAAGAGAGAAAGAATAAGTTTTACGATAAATTCACTTTGCTAAATAAAAAAATTATATATACATATATATTAAGTAAAAAGGAAAGATAATTTTAAAAATCATGAGTTTGATGTTTAATCGTGATGGGAATCCAGAGATTTTGAAAATTCCAGTTTTGATACGAAATTTGGAGCAATTTTACCAGCTATTAGTTACGTTCAATTTCCACTATATTGCACGACATGATATTCTGTGTACAGTATAATAATAATAACATTGTAACGTAATTCCACGCGAAAATTCCGTGACATAATTCCACAGTAGCCGTATATAGAATGCAAACTCACGACGGCCAATAATTTCGTTCGGTAAAACGCCACGTAATATTCCCTGCGCATTATTCAGGGGTTATCACGGAGATGGATATCCGTTCGATGGCAGAGGTCAGATCCTGGCGCACGCGTTCTTCCCGGGCAGGGATCGCGGCGGGGACGCTCACTTCGACGAGGAGGAGATATGGTTGCTGGAGGACGATAGCAACGAGGAAGGTGAGTGGATCAGGAATTTTCTGATTCCGGTCGAGGAACGATTTGAATGGGCTTAACTTAAGTTCGCTTAGCAACATTCTCTCCCTGTCTCGTATAACTAGACTCCGAACTCGGTTGAAGTAGCAAAGTAAAGCGGTGGGCGATGAGTGAGAAGGGAACAAGCGGAAGATACTTAATTCTGTTTGCGATGGATACTATTCACGCTCGAATTGTTTTTGCCCGAACTGCTCGATTCGTATCGATGCTCCGGGCAAAATTAGTCTAACAGTTCGACCAACTGTACGAAATGTTTCCTCTTCCAACATTCCCCGCGATAGACTTTCACGCAACTATCGAGCTAACCGCATTTTGGCAGCGCGCCAAATCAACCACCCGATATAAGACGCGCGGTCACGTCTCCGGAAAGAAAGGATCCGGATGACTCGGGAAAGCAGTTCTTCGATTCTATCAAAACCGCCGTTATATCGTTAGGATCGATATAAAATGCTATGGTACATAAAGGTATGCGCATGAAGGGCATATGAGAATATTCGAAATAGTGTTTGCGAGCCTCCTTTATCGATTCTTCTTTGTCGTGTTCCCTTCTCTCGTCTAACGCAATAAGAATCGCTTTGTTTTCAAAGGACTTTTCTCAAATGCATATAATATATTTACCGATATTAATTATTAATCGCACGTGTTGTATCAAAGAGTACATATTTGAATTAAATGTGTATGATTATTTAATTATTTTCACTCGTCTTTTTTATTAAATTAAAAACTTCTTTTTACGCAGAATTAATTGTAATATTTGCATTTTTTCATTATTCTTATTTTTTTATCATTATAACTTCTTCAGTCGAATATGTCAAATGTAATTATAATTGGCAACGATTCTTAACGAGAATGAGCAAGAAAGGGCAAGCCAGGCGCGGCAGACAACCTGTTGGAATGATTAACGGTATTTCCTTAATGGGTCGGCTTGTGTTTAATTAGTGCACGATCGAGACGATGCGACAACGTCGCTCGCGAAGAGGTGGACGGGAGAAAGCGAATCCATTCGCTTCGTCTTTCATACTTGCTTCAAGATTGTTTAATTGCGTGATTCGCGTCGCGAATCGTCGAGTGATTACGATGACAATTAACTAACCGACACGCAAGACTCCCGATTGTGCTGCAACTCTTAGATTTTTATTTCGCGAGATAGATCTCGTTGCGTGTTTTCTTTTGCGATTTCTCATTTAGAGTTGAAATACGAGATGCTTTTTTAATAATTATATAATATTTAATATATTACGTGAAAAATATATTTATTAAATCTACGTATTACAAGCTCTACTCTCTCTCTTATTTTTCTCTACATATACTATTATTAATAATTATATTTCTCTTTGTAATTATAAATTAAAGTACCTTATGATCGTTATCTTTTTTCATAAATAATATTTTGTTAAAGATATAAAAAGAAAATTTACATTAAAACGATATAATTATGTCTTGTAGATATTTTCAGCTAAACATTTATTAATTTCAATTTTGCAATTTTCTTTTTGCATTTTGTAAGCAGATAATTATATAATATCGGATTTTATTAACAGATGTTATTCTGACGTTTTTTTAGGTCGAATGATTCTGTACGTAATGTATTTTGACGATTATTCTGTAACAAAATGGATCCTGTTCTTTATTGCAAGCGTTTAATTACTTTTCATTTTCATCGGGGGTAGGTTCTGTTTCATTGATTCATTATTGGAGGAAGGGTAATTAGCAGAGAATAATTAAGGGCGATTTGTACACGCGGCTGATGATTTATCGCGGGTATCGCGGAGAAGACGACGTGAAATATTTCAGTCGATATGTTGCTCACCTCGAGTGCAACTCGAGCGCAGCAACAAAATCTGTATCGCTTTTTACCGCATTACCGCAACGTCGTTGCGACGTTCTGCATAATACGTTTCTGTACTTTCTTCGCGCTACGTCACGTCATACTCCACTTTCTGCAGCCGGAAGTTTCAAGAGACGGCGAATGAACATCGTGAAATACAATCCGCGGTACCAGCTTTTTCCTCGGCAAGAACTAATTTGCTCTCGAGCAGAATCGCTTCGTGGAAATAAAATTGCTACAGCGCGAAAATCAACAGAGAACGAGGAAATGGTGGAAAGTTTTAAAAAAAATCTCTACGAATCCTGTAGTTTACAAAACGTAATCTTTCTTTAATACCGCGAAATTTTTCTGAAGTTACATTTCAATTTATTGCATAAATACTAAAGACACATAACTAATTATTATACTAAAAATTTTAAAGGTAATATTGAAATATGTATATAAACAATTTAAATTTATTTATTTATTTTTTTTTTTGAAGCCAGCTTTTTAGAACAAAATCTTAAAAGAATGCGAGAAAAAATTAAACGGAATTCTCGTTACTCTCATTGTCAGAAGATTTATTTTCTGCGAAAATAATTTTCCGGAAAGCGAAGGAAAAGATTGCGAAAAGTAAATTGGAATATAATTGCGCAAACACACACACACACACACACACACACACATATATATATGTATTATTACACACTCTCTTTTATCATATATTAAAAAATTCCTTTTAACTGTGATAATTTTATTTGAACCCAAATCTTTTTTTCCATTAGCCGAGAAGCTTTACTTGACTGAGCGTTTCAAAACTTTTGCCATAACGTATTAGACGCTTAAAGTTCGATCATTACTATGTACTCTTATGGCGGCGAGTTGAAATTTTCTCAGCGAAACTTTAACTTTAATCGAGACCCTTAATAATAACATCGTTCGCTTATCATTAGCAGCAACAGCAACGCGCGCTCATAAATCCTCTTTAAACGTCTTGTAAACGCCGTCTCGTGTCGACAAAGACGTCGGATAATTTTCTATCACTCCTAAAGGAGAGGGGAAAGCTAAGTTAATTGCCGCCACGTTCGAGCTATTAATCAGCCGTATTAATTAATTGAATCGTTCCGATATCGGAAGTCGGATTTGCTTGAGCGCGATTATATCTAATGGGATTATTATTATTATTATTTGGGCTCGATCCCTTTCCTTCGATCGAGGTATTCGAATTTTGTATGACGTCGTTAATATTGCGCCAGCTTAGCGTGAGGCACGTTCACGTTTCCGTTAGCATAGTTATAACCATCGTACATTACTGCGGCATCGCCACAGGATTTTACAGCCTCCATTAACAGCCATTGCATGCGTATTCAAATTGCTAATTTCGACTACGTGTTGGCATCGCAGCGTTCCGATTTGTCGGCTTAAATTCTTTTGTTCGATTGTGACAAGAGGAAAAATAAAAATACTCAACATCAGAGAATACATTTTTCTTTTAATCTAATTTTAATTACTATAGCATATAAGCTAAAATAATATCAAAGAATAATTTGAAATACAATTTAAATTATTAAGTAAATCACTCTCTTAAATTTTGATTCGTGTTATAAGGAGGGAGGGGAATTTTAATTTTATTGTTAATTTAAGTTATTTAAAGTAAAATGTCAAAAAACTATTAATACTGTTAAATTAGTTGGAAAACATGAAGTAAGAAAATTTATATAATATAATATCATTTATATATATTATCAAAGAAATCATTATTTGTAAGTTGATCATGGAATGAAGCTGAAAAGAGCAGTCGCAGTTTTGGAACGCCCTGTATATAAGTTCTGAATAAACGTCGAGTTGGATTTCGGTAAGATAGTTATCAGAGTCGGTTTTCTCGTTGATCGAATCAGAAGACTTTTGCGATATCGATGTACTGTGGCTAAAGGAATTAAGGTCTCGACAGCAGCGTTGCGAGCGCGAATGTTTGTAAGAGAATTAAAATCTCAAAAGCTATATGCGCGCACTTTCGGTTAAAAAAATTAAAATCTCCGCGTTTTTCCCCTCTTTCTCTTCTCGTCCGTAATTTGTCTCCACAAGCTTCGAAATTTACGAGACTTATAAAAAATCCCGTGAGATCCGCGCGTTCCTCTCTAACTCGAAAAATAAAAAAAAAAGGAGAAATATACAATATTTCCTTTGATTGCTATTAGTGACTTTTGTAGAGCGACCTGAAACCTCCCGCAAAGCGTCAGTCACACAATGTAATTCGCAAATCTAACTGTAGCCTAGTTTCCCGTTATTTGCAAAGATAGTGCGATGAAATCTGCAGGGACGACATTAGCAATTCATAACTGACATAACTACTGGTTGAACGCCGCTCGCGGATCAGTTACATTCGTTCTCTGTCCAAGATGTATATCGTCCTCTCTCTCTCTCTCTCTCTCTCTCTCTCTCTCTTTGTCTCTCGTTGTAACCGGGTTAATTTAAAGCGAAGGCCCGCTCACCATTAATGACATTTGCTTAACGAGAATTATTAAGCATTTGCGTGTAAGGCGATACTACGATACTGCGACAGTCATTTAGACTAATAGCTTTCGACTGACCACATGTCAGTTGAGTTTGCAATTAGCTTGGCAAACCGCAATAAATACACTGAGAAAAAAAAGTTTTTAACTTGACTAAATTCGTCCAACTAACTACTATTTTTTTTGTATTTCTTTAATCGAAATATTTAAATATTTAAGTCAAATACGACATATTAAATCTAACACGATGTATATTTGACTTAAATATTTAAATATTTCAATTAAAGAAATACAAAGAAATAGTAATTAGTTGGATTTTTAAATCAAGTCAACTTTTTTTTCTCAGTGTATACTTATAAAATCATTCTAAATATTCAAAGTCTTCGTGTAAAAGATAGAAACTTGAAAAAAGGATCTGTCTTTAAATCAAATAAAATTTTTTTTATGAATAAAAATCTTATTTTATAACAAATATAAAGTGTAAATATATATATAAATACATAAAGGTACTTATTGTTCCTTTTTATCAAATTTATTCGTGCAATAACTCATTGACTAACTTTAACACTATACAGTATAAAGTATCGAATAATTTCTTGTACACGTTGCAAGTTTGCAAGACTTAAGAATCTCACTGTCTCGTCTTTAGTCACGTCTCTTGTGTATTTAACTCGCGAGAAATGAATATAGTAACCCAAGAAGAAAGAGAAGACGTCCGCAAAATATAGCGTAAGTTTCCTCGTTGCGGTATACTGCACATTCGCCCGGTAATATTTTGACACTCGCAGTGGAAATTTCAAGAGAAACCCGGATGAACGATAAACCCTATCACTTATAAAGCCTGTAGAGTTCACAAATTGCGTTATTTATATAAAGGAAATAAATAAATGAATATACAATCTGAATTCTTTATTAAATCTCGAATTTTTTTGTCAATTCTTTATTAAATCTCGAATTTTTTTAGAATTTATCTAAGGAGAGATTTTTTATATCTCATAAAAATATCACATAGAAATTTTATCTGTTTATAAATACTTTATGATTTTTTAGAAAATCTATATAGCTAGAAGAAATTGTACGGTGGTTATATATTCTTTACGAAGACTAAATATATAAATTTAGGATCTTTCGTGAAATTTTGTCGAGGATTTTTCCCGGTGATACAAGCGACGACTCGCGATACTATCAATTTTTCCGGCAACGGCAATCCTCATATCGGCGATCGTTTCACAATTCTAACCCATATCTGGAAACGTAGTTTTTCCGACGCGGATTGGAATCGAATGGAAACGAAACGGAACGAAGGCGGAGATTCCGCGGCGCTGGCGGCAATTTCCGATGCAATTGCCCGGAAAATTCGGCACGCGGACGCGGAAAAGTTTCCGATACACATTTCTCTCTTCCGTGAGGCAGTATCCTTCGAAGCAATCGTGAAAAATAAGACATTAAGATTAAAATCAATTTCTAAGCATTTTTATAAAAAGATATTACACATCCAAGTATTGATTTTTGAAAAATGCAGCATGTTAAATTAATAAATTATATTTTACATATACAACATATGTAGTTGCGCGATAAGCTTTGTTAATTTGCATAATTTTATAAAGAAGTATGTCCTCCTAAATTCGGCCTTTAAAAAATGAACAGCATCTTGTCTCTGTCATGTGTAAACTATAGAAAAATAGAATATTATATTGAGATTAATTTATATATTTTATTTTAGTAAGAAGACACTATATTTCCTTCTTGGTTTCCAGAAATTTGCTTCAATTAAGCTAATTACAACATTTTGATAAGGAGGCATTCTTAGTTCTGAATAAATTTAAATTATAAATATATATAGATATAATTCATAATATGTATTATTAATATAAATAAATTAACGTCAATACAATATAAACTTTGTAACTTAATATTAATTATTGTATTTTACTAAACAGCTAATTGCCATGTTTCCGCCTTCGCGAGATATTCGCCACCGTGTAGTGCATAAAAATTCCGTGGCCCTGTATGCGAATCTGTAATGCCACCCTTCTTGCGTCGCATTCCGCGCACACATGCGCGGAATCCTCACACATATTGCGATTAACATGGACGAGCATGAGTGGGAGGTTATACCATGCAGATAAGCGAGTCTTGAATAGCTCTCCTCTATTCTTTCCTCTTTCAGGCACCAGTCTGTTCGCGGTGGCCGCTCATGAATTCGGCCATTCCCTGGGACTGGCGCACAGCTCAGTCCAGGGTGCTCTCATGTATCCCTGGTATCAAGGACTGAGCCCCAACTACGAGCTGCCGGAAGATGACCGGCATGGGATTCAGCAGATGTACGGTAAGCATCCTCTCTTTCGCAACATTTAATGTTCACACACGATTACGTTAATTACACGGTATTTAAATAGCATTAGCGCGACTTCTGTTTCTGTAATACATGCGTATTTGTTCTATAAAAAATATGACTCTTCAAGTATTATATTATTATTTTTTGTAAAAAAAAAACATACATCTTTAGGAGATTAAATTTATTTAAATAAAATGCGGCAAAAGAGTTATCGGAATTATAATCCGTTTGAAATATTAGCCTCCAAAATATTATTAAATTACAATCCAACAGATATATTAATATTAATATTATTATCGATTATATGAATTTAAGAGAGAAAGCACAGATCAGAATTATTAAAAATTAAATATGCTATAAATTATATTATAATATTAAAAGTAGATATATTACTATAAACTGAAATAAAGCGGAAAAAGGAGCAAGAATTATCCGATCGCACAGGATTATAACGTTCATCGACTGCTTCATCCTTCGAGCTCCCTTCGTACACATGTGGCGAAAATCGCACGAGCGATTTATCTTGATCGTAAAACTCTCGGCAATATAGTACTGGCAGATTTATGGAGGGGACCGTTATCAGGCAGGGGTAAAATCGCGCAGCATGAGCAAGCGTCGTTCGCGCAACGTTTAAATTTCGAAATTTCGGGCACGCTATCGTAACTGCGGGCGTTAAGGCGATGCTGTTGCATTCGCGACATAACGCTAGCGTGTCGACCGGCAATTGAGAGTACATTAGAAAAGTTGTTTGCTCTCTTTCTCTCTCTCTCTCTCTCTCTCTCTCTCTTCTCTATTTACGGCCTGGCGAGCTCGGCGTAAGGGCATGTACAGAATGATTCGTGGGGAAGGTATGTAGGTCAAATCTCTTCGTCAAATTTTTCCAACATTTTGTTGCCAACCATATGCATTTTATGAATGGAGTTAAATATATGTGAGATAAATTAAAAAAAATATATATTTATATATAATATTAATGCTATTAATATCTTCTGGAATTAGTCTAAATTTGGAAGCGAATACATATGTCAGGAACAATCTCGGGAAACCTTATTTATGTTGAAATTACGCGAAATATTCTCGATACATACTAAGTTGTGCAATACATACTATTGTTAGAATTACCCGCGTCACTTCGTCCCGCGCAGAATCGTAACTTGAGCATATCAAATTGCTTTGAATGTGCGGCTATGGGAAACGGTTTTGGTTATATAGTATATTTGCCCAGCCGAATTGCGGGGAAATTAGCAATCCACTATACGGGGTGTCGGAAACAGACGTCGAACTACACAATATATATATATATATAATATATATATAAACATATTCAGAATTGTCCTTTTCACAAGTTCTTGCTAGATTCGTTTCGAGCTTATCTTGAAATATAACTCAACGTTGAACTTAAAGTAGATTCAGACACCCTATATATGGCTCTTTAATCGAAATTATAGACGCCGATATGCCGGAAATTTGAGTTTTGGAGCAGGAATCTACATCCCGTTTAGTTCCGCAGTAGATAAGGTACTTTGTAGTCCGACGACGGAGTAAAGTTGGCTTTTCAGTAGCAAACCCGTTCGATAGTCAGCCGCCTGCAAAGCGAACTGCGGTTGCGCTCGTCAAGTACATAAGCCAGAAGCTTATAGCGATATTTCATGCACGCACGTTAGGCATGAAGGATGTAAAAAAATGCGAAAAATAAACGCACAAAAAAGCCCCATTGTTCACGCGTTCGAGTATTCTTTCTTCGCGTTAAGCGAAAAATAATAACCAGAATGCTTCTTCTTTTGCGCGAATTTCTCGAATATTATTTTAAAATAGCACGTCGATTATTTTACATATTTTTAAATATTGTTATGATATTATTATAAGATATATCATTAAAGTTTAATATCAAGTAAAGTTTAATATCGCTTAAATGAAAATTCTCTTCTATAATTTATTGAGAATCAAAGTTGACTATATAAAAATATATCAAAGAATTCTTTGATATAAATAGAACTATTCTCTCTTTGCGAAATATGTCTTGATTTTTCTGACAGCCAATAAGATTGACGATAAAAGTGATGCATCATATATGCTTTATATAAAACTGTTGGAAGGTTAGAAGAATGACAAGAACTAGTTTCCGGTGGTTGTTGCGATGTTTGAAAATAGAGAAACTTTTGACCTACTATCTTTATGCAGCTGACTTTATAACATCGTGAAGTAAGAACGTGAGCGTATTGCACGTGCGGACGCAAATATACGCGACGTTTTACGTCTTCTCGCGCAAAAATAAATCTCGTAAAAAGTTTTGCATACAAATTTACCGAATCTTATTTTTTTAAGTCTGAATTGTTTGCATTATTATTGAGATATCATTTCCCGAATTCTTCGAAAATTTCACAAATTTCTTAGCGTAATTATAAATCACCTAATTGTATCACACACATAAAAGTTATATTTCTCTCTCTCTCTCATTTGCTTAACTCATACTTTATATGTATTAAATTTTGTTTTTCTTATTCATGTAGTGTATTTTTTTCTATAATTACGATATATGTAATTGAATATATGATATTTTTAATTATAAGTTATATAAATTATTTTAATTCGCCACAACGATTCAACGACTCAAATCTAATCTTTTCATGCTAAAATCTATTACCGTTACTATTCTCTCCAGGAAGTCATCGATTCTTGGACCGGTATTTTTTTCTCAAAGACGATGTCGCGATGCATCATCGCGGGTCTTCGGTTGCACGTGAGAATACATCGCGCGATGATGCACTGCCGTTCTCGTTACGGGCTGTGTTTTACGTACGGTCACGGGTGAAATGAAACGTGAATAAAATATAACGAATGACCGAACCCACGCGCGCTCTTTTATTCGCCCTTCGTCATCCCGCAGGGATAGTACCGGCGGGGTTGGTGATTTAGTGTACTACGTCGGAGCTTCTCTCTCTCTCTCTCTCTCCCTCTCTTCCTCTGGGGGAGAAGGTCGCGAATCCATTTCGATTCTCCTCCCTCCTCTTCCTCCCCTGCTTGCGCCAACACCGTTGTTATTCTCGTTTTCCACGTGTCTATCAGCGTTATCTTTTCTTCCTCGATCTTCCTGCGCGCTCGATAGTTTCATGCCGTACTGCATCCGTTAAATTCCGTACGAGAGGCGAACCAACGTAGTGGAAATACGATTTTTATTCAACATGCTTTCGAGAAATGTTTACGTAACATATAAAATGCAAAGGTTTCACGTCACATTCATATATTTAATCTTTTAAAATTAATAATTTTTTTATTATATTATATGTATAAATGATGATATAAAAGATAATTGCTAAAGCACGAAGTTACAACTTAATAAAACATGGTTAATCTTATTAAAACACTGAATGAATATTTCAAAGGATTTAATATTTATATAATTATATAATTTTTTTATATAGCCTACCTCTTATTTTTTCTCTTTTGTAATTTATAATGTATTACTATCTTAATTATTATGATGTTAATATAAATTTAATAAAATTAAATGTACGATTAAATTTCTCTAATCTAATTTAATTTCAATTTATATAAATTAATGCTTTACAATCTGTGTAAATTACGAATTAGTAATTATATCTTCTACGCATTATTATTATTACTTTAATAATATTAAAGTAAGTACGTAAATCTACAAATAATGCATCGTAAAAGATAAAATAAGCGCTGTTTTCGTCCCTTGTACAGCGATCTCGCTCGCACATCATTCTTCGTTTTCGTCCTTCCGTTTCTAGTTTACTCCGTTCGTCCCGTATATTTTCCCCGGTTTTGTGTTGTCAGTGGTAAACGTATTACGCGCACCGCGTACCACTGTCACGCGAAGAAGAGAGCGCAAATGCAAGCGCGAGCTCGCATTTGTCTTCCCTGAAAGGGACCCGCCATCGACGAGCGCATTTGCTTTCGTTGCGGCGCGCCGTCTGGTTGTGCAGTCGCATTGTCGAATGCAAACAGCGGCAACCAGCCAGCCTAGCCTTGTTCGCCATAATAGGGAGAAAGGGAGAATTGTGTATCTTATTCGCGCGACGTAATTGCGGTACTTCCTCATCCGAGTGAGCCGGTTCGAATGTTTCGCCTCGCCATTCTCGTACGCGATTGCAAATGAATCGATCGTTCCGAAAATAAATCTGAGAGCTAGAAGCGAAATGGAAAAAACGCAATTTCATTTTAATGTCTAACAGAGAATAAATCTTTCTCTCTCTTTCTCTTTTTCATAGAGAGATATTGTAAATTTAAGTTAATTAGCAATAACACATTTTCAAACTTCGAAAAAATTCCTTTTTAATCTTAAAAAATTAAATTTTAATTATATTAAATTAAAATCGTAAAAAAATTAATGAAAGCTATAAGCTGTGAGAAATTTTATTTTAACTTGTAAAGGGAACCTTATATATATTATTAAAAATATTCCTAGGTTGTTCCTGTTCCTGAGATCTCGGGAATTTCAGAACTACAAAAACTTTGAGAAATTTATAAAATTATCGAGTCAAAAGAATTTATACAAACGTGTAAACGCGTGTATTTGTAAACCTAATTTTGTAAACGAGATCTTTTGGTAGCGGTTTTATTTTTCTTTCGCGTTTTCAGCGCGTTCTTTAGTTTTAAAACAGTCGCATTGAGTTGGCGAGCATGCGCCTGCAAATGCTTTATCTTTTCATTGTCTTCCTTCAACTCCTCCATCGCCACCTCCCAAACAATCTTTGCCTCCGCCGGTACCTTGGAGATCTCGTCCCAGTTGACGTTCTTGAGAAAGCGTACGTACTTGATCGGCTGCGTTTCCTTCATCTCCTCATCCGACAACATGTGAATACGCCGTCCTCTTAGGAAAGAAAACAACGCGTTTGTTGAACGTATCAGGGAAACTCGAAACTCGATTAACGCGACGCGATCGATGTTAGAAATCAATCGTTAGATTGTTTATTTAATTCCGGGAAGAATTAAGTACATCTAATTCACGTGTAATTTGAATTACAATCTCGTATATTTTCTCGAATAAGAGACTAAGTAAATTCCGTAAAAGTATTTCTTTTTCTGTCTCTCTCAGGCATCAAAGCACACAATTTTTTTACGAAATCTATTCTTTGTAGCTACATTATATGAACGCGCTATAATTGTAATTATACTTTTTGTACCTTAATCAAATTAATATATATCTGAAATTTGGAAAAAGAAAGAGGGGAAAGAGAGAGGGAGAGATAACAAAAATGTACAAAAAAATGCAATAAATGCAGTTAAAAATAACGGATTATATAATTCTCTTGTCTAAGCTTTTTTTACACAGAGGATTTAATGATAATATAAAATAGAGATATCTCTTTCTCTCTCTTTGATAGTTTTTTTATTTCCATTGATGCAATATATGAAAATTTACTCAATATTTCAGGCAGCTACGAAATATCATTTTACTTTTAACATGGATTATTTATATAATTTATTTAATTAATTTTCTTACTTTGAAACAGTCGGTCTCGTGATTGGGACGAATAATCCGGTTTCCGATTCTTCCTGCGGTCGATCGTCTTCCGTTGAGATATATGGTTCCAGTTGCAAAGTCGGAACAGCATTGTCCATCAGGCTCGAGCCTGTGAAACAACTTTGTGAGAAATGACGCGAACACAGTGACGATTGAGCAGGCACTTCCGCATTAGTTTTGCCAATCGCGTCCAGCCAACTTTTCCGACGATCCTCGTTCTCGGGAAAACTAAAAAGGAAACACGCGAGGATAGGAGGGAGACAATACTAGTTTTTGTGTATATATACGAGAGGCAGTCAAATATAAATCGAACTTTTTCCAAAACATTTTATTTAATCAAAATATTTCCAACGCACACCCAAGTTATTTTTCTACATAGTTTCCACTAAAATCTAAGCATTTTTGCCACCGGATTGGCAATTTTTTTATTTCCGTTGTCATAAAAAGTGAAATGTGTCCGAAACCGATTTGGGTGTGTGTTGGAAATATTTTGATCGAATAAAATGTTTCGGAAAAAGTTCGGTTTATATTTGACTGCTCCTCGTATAAATGTGTATTGAATTATAAAATTCAATATTACTACGAAATCTACAACTGCGTCATCTCTGGTAATTTCACTCTTAATCAATCGATCACCCGTATTCATTCATCTTAAAAAAATTGTATTTTAAATCATATAAAATAATAACAGAAAATTAGATCAGAAAATATACAAAAAAATTGTGTAAAATTATCGATCCATTTGGATATCATTTATCTCCCTCTTATTATCTACAACACATATACACATACACATAGATAGATCTATTGAACTTTATACATTGGAATGCGTACTGGCATTTAAGACATCAGCTGAGGGAGATAGCTCAAGCATAGATTATTGTTTCTCTCTCGATAAAGTCCGATAGGAAAGTTTTTCTTAGTTCTATGAACAGAGATATTTATGTTTGATTCTAATAAAAACTCGGGTTAAACTTCTGACAGGGTTTGTACAAAGCTTTCAATACGCATGCGTTTAGAGGCATATGCTGGAACGCTTCCCCCCTCTCTCTTTCTCTCTCTCTCTCTCTTTCTTTTGTTGCATTTCCTCTATACGAGGACCATATAGGGGAGCGTATTCAAATATATAGAGTTCTTACGCGTGGAATGATATCTCGTGCGCGTCTTCGGAGCGTTGTTCGCAGAGAATGCAACTTGTCGCCATCTCAAGATTCGCGCGACACACCAACGTCGCTCTCACGACTGGTGTGTAAGAGGAGCGGGCACGAACTGACAACCCCACTAAAGCGAGAGGTTCTCGGTACGCGTTGTCCTCGTTTTACATTCACGCCATTGGTCGTCGCCGCTGCGAGATATCGGAGGGCGATATCTCGCCGATGCTGGGAACTGGCGCGGTATTACGAACGAATGGTTCTTGGACGATGAAAGAAGAGAGAGATAGAGGAAAAAAAGAAGTTTATCAAAATTTCAATTTCCATTTCACGTTTCCTGTCAACAGCGATAAAATATGCAGTGAGATATAAATAAATTAATCAATTGTAAATGGATTAATTTATTTATATCTTTATCAATCTTGGAAAGTCTTGGATATCTAAAAAAAATTGTATAAATATTATAAATCTAATAATTAAATAAATATTTAATTTTTTACACAACGAAATATTTTTATATATCATAATATAAAGGTTAATAAATTGAGAAAATCATTATACCATAATAATACGTCGCGAAATTTAGTTCTCTGAATTATTTTAGTCTCTGTGTATATGAATCGCAAAAAAGAAAACAGACCTACTTTGTTTGTGTATATTTTTGCGATTGGATCCAATTTCTCTTGCGAAATCACATTCGTCAACTAGCAAAAAAGTGGCGAACTTGCCTGAGAGATCGCACATTTTTACGTGGATAAAATGATAGTCCCACGAGGGAATAAAGATTGGCCGCGTAACTTCTGCGAGGGGAATAATAAAACCGCGAAGCGCGCGCGATATACGTGCGTCGCGTGAAATATTTATGACATTTCGGCTCGTGCAAAATACAGAGTTTCCGTTCTCGGGCATGGATGAAAGCCGTGTGCGAGTGGAATAAAAAAGAGGTCCAAAAAAAAAAAAATAACAAAATACATCGTCGATCGTGTACGTGATCATTCCGCGCATTTCTCTCTTTTATTTCTAGCTACATGCTACAATTCGCGTTCACGCTGCATTCTCGAACTATTTGCAGTATCAATATTTGGATCGTGCGCATGTAACAAAAGTTATGTAGAGTGTCACGCGTAGAAAAACATGATGAATAAAATGGAAACATTGTTGCAGAAGCAACGACAGTCCTACGAATCGTAACCGTTTGCCTTTTAGAATTAAACATGTTTAAATGTTTCTCCAACTCTTGACGAACAAAGGCAAAATGAGAGAGCTACGCAAACGAACCCTGTAATTCGAATAAGTTTTCGAGGCGAGAAGGAAGCTTCCCGCTCAAACTCTATTAATAACTTCCAACCTAGTTTTTTTTCGACCTGCTCGCGTTTTCATGCTCCACTTAGTTCCATATACCTACAAACATGCCTGCCCGCAAAGCACGAAATATATATATATATACACTTTTTACGGCAGAATCACACGAAAATGCATTTGTCTGCGTTGAAAAGAATTTTTGCGCCACGTATTTAATTTGAAGATGTTAAGATATAACGTAAGACATTTCGCGCATTTTGATTGAAACATTTTTCTACATATCAACCGATGTATTAATCAATTAGATGCTAATAAACTCGCATAATCGAAGAAACTTTATTCCAACATTTGACGATATTTGAACATTCTTCCACTCTTCCACCCTTCTTGAAAATTCTAATAATTGCATTTATGAGACGAACGTACATGGAAAGATGCGCTATCGCAAGACTTGGAGATCCATTTTTGTTACACGTCTCTACATCGATTTTTTACCGAGTTATTGCCACTCGTAAAATGACAGGCGCGCGCTCCATTCGTGAATGAAGGGTCGCGCGCGCGGATCGAGGAGAGTGAGGTAGGTCGCGGCTACTACGCGCGTACGCATGGCCGATCCGCTGTCAGTCACGTGAGCGAGTCAGCTGATCGCCGTCGCGTCGCGCCGCGCGACTCGCGCGCCCGCGCGCCTTCGCTCGCCGACCACCGACTACTACCGGTCAATTGAGTCGCAGCGAGTTGAGACGAATCGCGTATGAAAGCCGAAAGTGAAGCGCATCTAACAGATACCATTTACCTTCGACTGATAATTTTTTGCATGATACAATCGATTAATTTTGTAAATATTAAACTCGCGCGAGAAAATGGAGTGTCCTTTATCTCAAAGGGAAATTATTACGTAATGAAAATATATATAGTGATATATTTGTGTAGGGAGATTATAGCGAATTGAAACAGATCGCGTATGAAAATTGAATATTATTAACATTATGATATATATTTTCAGCCAGAAATGGCGAAGTAATTAAAAAAACTATTGTTAGAAAGTTACAAAATTCGTATAATAAAAGAATCTCTCTTTTCGTTAAAATAATCAGAGAGCAAATATCTAAAGAAAGAAAAAAAATAAAAGCGTTAGTTATATTATTAGACTGTTAGAATTATACAAGATTCTTTGTTCATTATTCAAAATTTAAATTTAAATTTAAATTATATATAT